CTGGTACTCGTACGTTTCTTCCTCGGATTCGTCGAAGCCCCATTCTACCCAGGCGCTCTATACATCCTGAGCATGTTCTACACGCGCAAGGAAATCGCTACAAGAGTATCTATCCTGTATGCCGGAAACATCTTCGCCGTCTCTTTCGCTGGACTCATTGCCGCGGCTACTTTCGCGACACTGGACGACAAGCATGGAATGCATGGATGGCAGTGGCTTTTCATCATCGAAGGCATCGTCACAGTCGGCGTGTCGATCGTCTGTGTATTCTTACTACCGGATGAGCCGCTGACAACGAAGTGGCTTACACCTGAACAACGTCAACTGGCGCACGATCGTATCCAGCGGGACACTGTTGGACTGGAGCCAAGCAAAGGCGTCAAAGCGGGTTTCATGCAAGCTCTACGCGACCCAAGACTTTATCTTCTGGTCTTTATGCAGAATATGCATTTGAGCGCTACGTCTTTCAATCAGGTATGTCGCAATCAGCCATTCTTCGGATAACTCTCGTGTTACAGCTACTAACAAAACACAGTTCTTCCCTACTGTAGTCAGGTCTCTGGGCTTCAGTACAACCATCACGTTGGTTTTGACTGCTCCGCCGTCGCTCGTCGCCGGCGTCGTCGGCATATGCATCGGCATCTCGTCTGGCAAGTTCAACGATAGAACATGGCACATCACTGTCATGATGGGAATCGCAGTCGTTGGGTTCGCTATTAGTGCTATCACGCTCAATACCGCCGCGCGCTACATCTCTTGCTTCCTGTTCGCTTCCGGTTCGTCTTGCCTCCATAATCCCCGTCCTTCTTGACACCCCTGTTGTGAGAAATCCTACTAACGTTGCATGTTCCAGGGGTTTATTCGGTCAACTCGGTGATTTTAGGCTGGGTATCAGGGACGCTAGGCCAGACCACGGAGAAAAAGGCTGTGTCACTGTCCATCGTCAATGTGGTTTCCATGGCTAGCTTCATCTACACGCCTTACCTGTATCCCGCGAGCGACGGACCCAAGTATGTAATTGCTATGAGTAGCAATGCGGCGTTTGCCGGGGCATGTATTGCATCAGCCTGGGCGCTGAGGGCGTGGCTCCAGGTGACGAACCGGCGGCTGAAGAGGGATGGCGTCAACGTTTTCTACGCGTATTGATTGGACTTTCGAGTTCGGTCGAACCGTTCATATAGCATCCATGATTACATTGAAAAAGTATTAAATGAAAGTTCAACGCAGCCGATAATCACGAAAAGGGTATCATCAACGCCAATCATTAGAGCACCGAACAAAACATCAACCACCCCTCTACACCTCCACAATATCCGCATCCCTCTCCAACTCCTCACTCGCATGCTCCCTCCAAAGATGATCCATCAGCGCCTCGATACCCCTACACACGGTATCCGACTTCCTGAACCTGGCGCAAAGCACACACGCAAAGCCCCCACCTTCTCTATGGCTCTTGACAATAAAGTGGTTCTTGATGCGAAACGCTCGCGGTGCCGTTTTGCAATGACCGTGTTCGTCTTTCTTGTTGTAGCCATCGACGACGAGCTCCCAGGCTTTTCCGGGTTGGATGGGGATGTGCGTGCGGCAGAAAGGACACTTGTGGTCGCCGGTGGGTCGGTAGGCGTCGGCGAGGTGGAGACGGGGGTTGTGTTGGAGGTCTTTGGCGTAGATACAAAAGAGCCTCGTGCTGTAGCGTGAAGATGGGGGCTGAGGCTGAGGCTGAGGCTGAGGCTGAGGTGGGGGAGGGGGTGGAGGTATAGGCGTGGGCTTTGGTTTGGGCTTCACGATTGGTATCGGTTTTATCAAGACCTCTTTTGATTCGCACGAGGAGCTGGAGCTGCTGTCCATGCGCTTCTTGTGCCGCAGTGGTCTTGATGGTGGTCGCGGATGGTCGGGTAGTGGAAATGCGCCAGGGACTCTTAAAGGTGCGTCGGGTTGTCGAGGTAATAGCGGTGAGGGAAGTGGTGGCAGCATGCGTTCGTACTGCATGTTCAACGAAGCGATGGAGGCTGCACGCGCTGTACGAGCCGTCTGAATCAGACGTACAAGGTGCGAATGCGAAGATGACGGCGCCATATACGTGCTTAGTAGCAGATCCTGTTGGATATTGATGACTGTCTGCTGAAGCTTTATGATCTGAGACTGCAGCTGGGTATGCGTTGTAACTGTTCGACATCAGTACCTGGTAGTGTGGACTTGAATGAGAACATACCATCGCCACGCGCAAACGGCTCGCCCAGCTTCCGATACCCACGTTCGTACTCGGCTCGAATCTGGGAAGAGGAGGTGCATATGAGCTCTTCTTCGCTGTCACTGTAGTCGCCTTTCCTCTTCTCTGAGCCAAACATGGAGTCGCGACGACGCCTATGCCACAGCCCCTGAATACGATACTCATCTTCCTCGTCGTCGCTATCTTTCTTTCCAGATCTACGCTTGAGCTTGCGGTATAGATCACTGGCAGAACCGAAAGATTCCGTTAAGGTCCGCACGAGGGAAACCACAACAACAAAGTCTTGGAGTAACCCTTTGGCCTAGGCAAGTTCGATCAGCATTTTGTCCATGCATGCGATGACTATCACGTAACGTACTGTCTCTACGGCTTTTTCTGCTTCTTCTTTCATGATGCTAGGCTATGGAATATACAATGAATGCGGAGTGTGAAAGGTGACGGTGGGATGCATATTCAAACCTTGCGCTACAAGAACTGACCAGCCGGACAGTCATTCTGACAATGTATCACCTCGCCGCAGTTTGCTCAGCTGAAGTTTGTGTTCGCATTTGATGCATCATGAGTACCTTTTTTGTTTTGCTGCTGGGGTGGTCTCATGACCGCGCCAGTTCACGTGCCGTTCAACACCAGATGACTTACCCGGGCTTTCTACAAAATACAAACCGAGGTCATCGACACAACCTGTTACATACTGAAATCTTCGATGCCCTCTGTTTACTAGACGTTGCACGATCGTGCCCAAGTTCTCAAAACTTCTTCATGTTTGGCTGCGTTAGGTGGTTATCATTACTCGTGAGATATGCGGATGCGGCACATGCTCATTGTCGCGTGCGCGTCACGTCTTAGACATTCGCGTCTCGTAAAGTGGCCATGGTATCACTCGCCCACATATACATTTGCTTGTGATCTTTTTGGTGTGGATTTGGGGAAGGATGCAAGGACTCGCTCGTTCGCAATCGTACTCGACCAGCTTGGCTAGCGATGCTCCACGTGGATCCTACCTAGGTCCGGTCATATGTTGGATGAGCCCACTTTGGATGAAGGAGGTTTCGGAACGCCAATCGCGCCCAGGATGCGGTCCAGCAGCCCTGGCTCGTGGCGTAGCATGTTCCACTCGTCTTGATGCTTGACCATCATCGTGCCTCCTAACGTTGTACCGTTCAGAGCGACGAAGCCGATCTCACTGCCGTCATCGCGGTGAAGCATCGTGCCCTCGGCACGTCTAGGCAGGATGACCATGCCTGCAGTCGTCATGGCAAGGTTATAGCTCATGGGTAGATCGCCGTCGTCGGTGGGGTGCAGAGCGAATTCGTTCGGGTTCGCGGAAATGAAGGCGTCGACTGCGGCTTTCGCGGCGTCGTACAGACGGTTGTAGACATCGAGCAACTGGGTACCTGAAGGCTCAGAGTCGAATGGGTAGGCAAAGTGCGTAAACGGCAGAGAAGGATGTTGCAGAAATGCGGGATATTGTTCTTGGATGCATGTTAGCTACGGGAAAGCGCAGAGTTGTCAGACGCCTACCAGTTGCCTTGGCTGCCGGGCTCGTCAAGATCAGATCTATGAGCAGGCCCCAGTCGCTAGCATTGTTGCTATCGCGCATTCCTTCCACAGGTAGGAACTGCAAGTGTCTGTGGGGCTGAGAGGCACCGCTGTGGTCGCCGGAGTTGAAGAAGGCGAGGAGACGCTTCTCGTCGCCGCCCGAGTCTGCCTGCCATGCCTTCAAGACGGCGTAGGTCGCCTCCAGATCGTCCTGTTCGAGCACGTGTGTTTGCTTCTTGTTGGGTTTTGTCGCCAGGATGAAGTGCTCGGATATTATGGGGTACTTGTTGAGGACGAGGAAGTGGCTTGGGTTGGCGGCGGGTATGTCGGCCAGGTGGAGGGCTGGTGGGGGGTTCTCGAACGGGTCGATCTTCTGTTTGGGCGTCGCATTCTGGAGCTTCGGGATGGGTTTCTTGGCGAGCGACGGGCAGTATCGTAATTGGAACTGCTGGCGTGTGAGCCTGGTGGTGTTGGCAGGGCCGGCATACTCACGGGAATGCCTGCAGATGAGCGGATGATGGCTAGCTCCGTGGGCGAGAACAGCAGATCCGACGATGCCTTTGCAGCCTCGAACTTGCGCTTCGTGATGCTCGGAAGAGCTTCAGATAGCCCGAGAATCATCTTCATTCGTTGTCGCGTATCGATGACAGGTGGGGTGCGTGGGCAGTTCGACCGTTGGAGCTTCCACCGCGAGCTAGCGCCAAAGCCTAGAATTGTTTTCACACCTCAGAACATCTCCTTCACTATCGTCATGACGTTTGTCACACAGGATCTGCTACGACGTGCCACATTCAATTCAAGGGATATTATATCGTCAAGAACCCGCTCAAAAGACCTCCCGAAACGACGTCATGCCACCGCCATGCTTTGCAGCTTCCCCATCTAGGCCATGGAGGCTTCTTACGCCCCCAAGATGCTACTAAGACAAACATATCCACCAACATTACCATCAACATAACAATAGAACAAAGAGTACAGACAGGGAGTACGACTCCGGAAGTAGCAGAATGAAAGATGCTGCCATGCGGCGATCTTCCGCGCATTTGCAGAAGACAGGCGCCACTACAACACCCCTCAGTGCCTTAACAGCAACAGTAGCGCTGTGCAGTCGGGGAATGCTCCAGTGGTCGCAGTTTGTACCTTCAAAATGAACAGTACTTGATACCAATCAAGTGTACTGGAGGATGAAGGTGTGTCGATGCCGTCGCTTGATGCCCATGTCGATCTCCGATCACTTGCGAGCTTGGTTGCGCTCCAACCATTTCCTCTTGCACGTCGCGTTGCCGAAATGATACGATCCGCCGTTGTCGGCGATGAACTCTGCGACCTTCTTCCAAGCGACTTTGAGGATCTTTTGCTCAAAGCTTAGCGAGTACGGATTCTGGAGGTTGCTCTCGATACGATCAAACTCTTGCTGAACGGTCTCATTCAGGAGCTGTAGCTGTCGATGTGTCAGTCTACCATGATCGAAGGAAATTCCAAGCGGTCAGCTTACATCAATCATTGTCCAGACGGGCTTTCGGACGCGATCCTTCCTCGCCTTGGTCAAGGATCGGTAGCGGCCCCTCAGAGTGGACTCTGCAGGCTTCTCACCGACCATCTTCGACTTGATCTCCTTATACGTCTCTCCTCTCTTCTTTCCATCGATCAGTAGCTGATCGTTGTGCTCTCGCTGTGCTTGGGCACCAGCACTGCGTGGAACGTGGAACCTGTCCTGGATACGGCTGTGGAGACCGGCATCCGGGCATGAAGTACTCCAGGGCGTCACAGGATACTGCGATGTGTTTGCTTCGTCTGTCGACGATATGCTAGTATTACTGGTTGGGTGACTGGATCGCACAACGTCGCGGGTCCTGAACGCTAGATTGGAGTTGTTATACGCGAAGTTCTCACCGTACCACGGAGAATGGCCAGCGCTACTAGTCTGAGATCGCGAATAATCTGATCCAGAGTTGTAGTCCTCCCCGAAAGAGGCAATCGGTCTTTGGTCCCTTCGACTAGGATAGCCGCATGGTGCTGTGACCTTGGCCGTGTCCTCGTCCATTCTCGGGAGTCCTGAGTATCCAGTGTCGCCATCTCCGTCGTGTACAAGGAAAGACCTGCAGGGAGGTGAAAGGATGGCGGCGTTGGTGGTAGTCGCTGAAGGTACGCTCCAATTTCCGCATGGCGAAGATTGGTCTAGCACAGACCCTGGACTGTACGTGTTCTCGAAGTCATCGCTGCGGTAACTCTTTGGCGACAGTGATATGCTCTTGTCCAGGACAGAGCTGTTGGCGGTCATCCCACGAGGCAGCCCATGGAGTTCCGAGGACGGCCAGGGTATTGGGTCGCTAAAGCTCTTCGCGATACTGTTCTGTGTGATGGGCGTAGGGTTGTATGTCAGGACCTGATTCCGGTGGAATTGCCGGTCCGAAATTGGTACGACGTAAGGCTGCGTCTGTTGGATAGCATGGTGCCAGTCGAACGGGGGTGTAGGGACTCCGCTCCAGTGCTGGCCAGATGAGTACGCGAGGTTGTTGGAGCTCGGCGTGGAAGGTGCTGCGCCTGTCGACTTGGTGTCCTCCTGCTCGACCCTCTGCAGTGCATACGGCTGGGTCTGCACATAGTGACTTGCCTTCACAGTTGTCAGCTTCGGTGCCGCAACAGCATAGGCGTCACTTACCATCATTGAATCCGGCATTCCAGTATAGTCAGGGAAGTCGCGAAATTGATCCGCTGAGGTAGGTTCCGGGACGTAGACTAGGCGGGGCTGAAGCTGAGCAAGAGATTGAGGAAGAAGATACTTGCAATCCTGAGGGACTTCTTGAGCGAGAGCCATGACTGCTCTCGCGGCATCCGCCTCTTATGGGTACCCCAAGAGACGCTAACCTTACAATAGTATTGCAAGTCGGCGTGAATGCGCGATTACGCGAGGCAAAAACGGGCGGGATACCACCGCTGTGAAGTGGGCGTGACTGAAGATTGCGGGGTGCTGTCGAGATGTCGAGGCACACGGACACGTTCAGTATTCACAGGAATGACACTCTATCATTCGCTCGACGGACCTGACCGCTTCACGAGATAGGGCGGTGGGGTTGCGGAGTTCGAGCGAGTACAAAGCTCTGCCAAGGTAGGTAGACAACAACGCTAAGTCTTGCAATTTCCAGACTTGGTATTGTGAATGGTCGGCCACAAAAGTGGAGGAGACGAGGCTGGCCCTGCTATCTATATGATGCAACAGTGAGCCCACGCAAGGTACCTAATCGATACACATCATCAGTACGCTAGGCCAGAGCGGTTACGTGAAGAGAGGTAGCCTCACCAGAATGTGCCACGAGATCAGAGGGACCAGGAGGAGCCCAAAGATGGAGGCAATGATCGTATGGACACGCAAACACACTAAGGTCTCTATCGGCGCCCTCTGGCTGGTGGAACGAGTATTGTGGACAGCGGGGATGGAAAACGCACACGGTGAACTGACGATCCGGATCGTACACCAACAAGACAAAGTGTAAGGATGAAGCCGAAGCCAAATGATGAAACGGGCCCAATCACATATGTTGGGTATGTAGAGGTGAGGGACGATCCGCACAATTATAGTCCAAGACAGCCTCAGAACCTTGACTGAAGCGATGAGACTCACGTTTGAAATATGCCACACCCATGTCTTGCTATACTATGGTACGCGGAGTTAGAGGCCTAAGCTTTCGGGTAGACCCGCCATTTCTTTCAATCAGCAAAGTCTTCCGGAATCCGCGCGGAAGGGTAACGGGTTGTCCGTATAGGCTAGACCGCACTCCATTCGTGCAGACTCATTGGGATGCGAAAAGATTGTCAGAAGCAAGCATAACTCTCATCAAGCAACGGCACTGCCATCCCGCTACTCCGTGATATTCAACGTGGCTAGCTCAAAGAAGGCAAATACCATTTGCCTGACGGCTGTGTCGGTCTACACTCCCCTCGCATGGCGGTTGGCAGACCTATAACGACGAGCTGTCAAGCGTCGAGCTGAAGAAAGATTGCTCGTTTAGTGCTAGCTGAGCTGGCGAAAAAAGTTCTACATCGTCTTGTTTGGCCGGCGTGCAGAAGCGAACGGTTATCTGCATGGCTTGGCTTGGCAACAAGCCATTGTGTCTGGCGCACCAGTAGCAGACCAGCTGAGATGTCATGGCGTGCAGAGACGCAGGTACGTATGCAATCTGATGCGACGATGTTCGCTGGGTTGGCAGGAGCCTCGCGTGTACTACATGTGTCGTCGATCATGACGCTCACGTCACACATGCGCTTCGCAATCAGCCCTGGAGTACTCCGGACATCGCAACAATATGTCCCCACGACAGGGAAAAGGCCAAATCTGCTGAATTTCCCGGTGTCGGCTTGTCGCTGGTGAAGGCGGGGAAGCCTGTAAGTCTTTCCTATCAATACCGACTCAATACCGGCTAGACACTGCACATGCTTCGATATACTCGCTAATGTGGCTAGTAATAACCCACGCATACAACGATCCACCTCCGAGCTCGCCTGTAATCCCCACGCCACCGGAAGGCCGCAGTCCAGCGACCGCCTGGTACCGGTGCCCGACCGCAACAGCGTGGATCTGGTCAGGCATGCGCATCGCGTGTGCGGTAAATCCTCTCCGGTGGCGCATGATGCTGCCTTGACAGGTCGCGGAGACTTAATCTTGCATATGATTGCATATGTCTGGGGAAGCTTGTACCCGTCTCCGGTGGCTACACTACCACGCTTCGCCTTGGGTGGTACGAAACGGCGACCGTGCAGCGTGCATGCTGCGTGCGAGGACAGGATAGTTGAAGGTACGATATGTAGGGTTGTGCGGGACGATTGGGACGTTCGAGCAGAGACACAAGTCTGAGAAATTGAGCAAGAGGTGAAAAGTCTGACATGTTGGAAGACATTTGCACTGACGCGAAGGATTGTCTAGACGCACGTACTGCACAATCTGTCTTTCACCTCCGCGCCATTTTCACACAATCCCCCACGCACTGGGATACCTATCAGCCTTCCGAAATCTTCTCGGTCAGATCTTCGCTTTTGCATCAGCCGGCGGCAACAGCTGAACATCCTTCCACGGCAATCCCAAGTACTCCCACATGTAATGGAACCTATATGGCATACCCGTTAGCGCCCCACAGCTCTCGAGTGTTTGTTCGCCATGTTTCAACCGTTCGCAGCTTATTTCGTATCCGTTACAGCATCTCCCCCGTAGCGGGCGCCTTACTGAACATGAATGTACTAGTAAAGGTCCAACCTCGTGGGCCCATAACGGAACACACGAGCATGCTAAGCAAAAGGCAGGGCCGGGGATACTGATGAGAGAGCACGTACCTATCACTACCAAAGAACGGTTCTTCTTCCCCTTTCGAGTTGCGCACAAGGAACCATGGGCAGCCAAAGGCACCTCGGTCGAGGGCTTCCTTGGTATTATCGTTCAGCTGCTGCTTGTATGGCGGGCTGTTTGCTTTCGCCATGACTTCCCGGGCTTCATCTTCCTTTAGACGCTGCTTTAGAACTTCCACAAGTACCTCCGGTTTACTGACATCCTTGCCGTTTTCCCACATTGCATGGTAGATGTCACGGAAGATAGCGACGAAATTCTCTCCATGTGCTTCCTTCACGTAGCATAACGCCCGCTGTGGTAGCAATGAGAGGATCGGAAAGAAAGATGGTGTCTGCAGATTGGGAACGCCAAAGTGGTGTTTCGCTCGCGCGCCATCATACTGGCTGTAGTTCGCCTTTGCTGGCAGGGTCCACGGCGGCTTGTTGCCTGCGCTGCAGTGTCAGGACTGATTTGGCATAGCGAGTACCGAGATTCCAGGCACTCCACATGGGAGGGGATGAGGGAGTGTTACCGCTGCCGACATTGATACCCCCTAGAAAGACGGGCACTATACTGTATGAAGTCAGTGATCATACTTGCTCTTGACGAGAGCGCGATCTCGTTGGTAGGGTTTCAGAGAAGGGAATTCGTCTCGAGCTTTAGATAATGAAACAACGGGTACTAACTCGATCTCTACATTGTGCGCTTCGAGAGTCGGCTTGTTCCTCTCCAGGTGCAGTAAAGCGTAATATGAGTATGGAGACACTAGTCCATAATTAGCATGTGATGTCGATCAAGAGGACAGTGAGTACGCACCGCAATCTAGATAGCACGTAATTTTGCCTGCCATATTCGCAATACGTCCAAACGTACGAGATGAGAAATCAAGGCCGTACTTGTAAAGACGCTGACCATGTCTTATGCGCGTCGTCGTTGGATCGGCGCACTGCCCAGGTGTCTTGGCTGCCGAGGTCTAGCATGGCCGGACTTTATCACTAATCGCAACCACACCTCCGCCTTTCAGACCGCGAATGATGCGGATACCCCGGATTCTCGCCGCGCAGCTTATGCGTACCGCAGATGCAGCGCCATACGCATTGACCGAGGTTATAGAATGAATGCTCATTGCAATGTCATGTCTGCATGCGTTTCGTAGGCGCCTTTTGCTGTTAGCAACAAGCAACAATTCCCCCAGCGCGACGTAACCTTCAACCCTACGCAATACGCTCTCTCCACCATGCCAACGTCCAACAAACAAGTCGCACTCGTCGTCGGCGCTTCGCGAGGCATCGGTCGACAAATCGCCATCGACCTAGCAAAAGACGGCTACGCAGGTGCACATAGCAACCACCTCCTCCATCCAAGAGTCAAAGCACTAACAACAACGCAGTCGTCGTAGCCGCAAAATCCACCTCCGACGCCTCGAAATGCTCTCCTTTCCCACCCGACCCAAACTCGGCGGCGTCCACCATCTCCACCGTGACCCGCGAGATCCACGAGTCAGGCGGCGAAGCCACGGCCATAAGCGTTGATACACGAGACTATACCAGTATAGAGCGCATGGTAGCCGAGACAATAGCCAAGTACGGCCGTCTGGATGTACTTGTGTATAATAGCGGCGCGATATGGTGGGCAAGCGTAGCCAAGACCCCGATGAAGCGGTTCCAGCTCATGCAGCGCGTGAACGTCGAGGGACTATATGGCGTCGTACAAGCCTGTCTTCCGCACTTTGAAAAAAGTGATGGGGCGTGGAGGGGCAGGATTATCATTGTTAGTCCGCCGATCTACTCGCGCTTCTTCCGCGGGAAGACGGCGTATGCGATGGGCAAGGTGGGTATGTCTGTTCTTACAAAGGGGCTAGCGATGGATTTCCAGCGCGAGGGGAAGAGCGAGATGGCGGTTACAAGCATTTGGCCTGCGACGGCGGTGCAGAGTGCTGCGACGCAGAATATGGCCCAGGAAGATGCCAAGGATCTTAGGACTGCGAATGTCTTCTCTGATGCGGTGTTGCAGATGATCAAGGCACCTGTGGAAGAGGTGAATGGGGAGTTGCTACTTGATGAGGATTTCTTGCGGATGAAGGGGGTTCGTGATTTTGAGAAGTATAATTTGGTGGAGGGGAGTAGGCCGAGAAGGATTATGCCTGCGGAAGTTCCCGATCTAAGAGTCAAGGAGCAGGATGATGAGGGGAGGAGGGTTGATAGTACGAAGCTTAGGGCTTCGAAATTATAAGATACTTCATCTTTACCCCTAGCACATCTCCACCTTCGAATCCAACTTCCGTCCTGATATTCATGTGCAGTCAGCCATCAGAAGGTGGTTGCCACGTTCTCATGGGAGTAGTATTGAGGTCCATGTTCTCCAGAGCATCTTGCATGCCTGCCCAATATGTCCATGGCTTGATAGGGGCGTTAGATGGATGTCGCACAGTGAGATAATGTTTTCTGGGCATATCGGCTTGATACCACTTACTACCCCAGTTTGTCAATCTATTCGGCCTTGTCAGTAATGTAGTCATGTAACACATTTCCTTCAGACTTACTCGTCTCGTGACTTGATGAACTGGCCCACGGCTCTGCCTCGCCAATATGGGTGACTTTCGGTCGGCTGCCCGTCGGCTTGGTACACTGAGGGATGCGCCCATAGCGGTAATAGCACACCAAGATGGTACCCACGAAAAAACGACTCGTCCTTCGCAACCTGCGCCAGCCTTTTGCCTTCAACAACCCCTTCTTTCTTTCCAGCAACTCGGGCGATCACCGAAGCTGATGCCAGACCTTCTGCATAACCCTTCGCTTCTCCTTCAGCCATACCAACACTGCGACCTTCTGCATGGCATTTCTTCTCAGCAGATATGACCTTGGTTTTCCACTTAGCCTCAGCTTGCGCTTGACTTTCGTTTCGACCTCTCTTTACGCCTTCGGATTCGCCAGCCTCATATCCATCTCTAAACCCTTCAAACCTGCCCGTAGCATATCCCTCATATCGACCAGTTTCATGGCCTTCGATTTTACCAGCATCACGACCGCTGGCCGAGCCCGCCTCGTGCGCCGCTCGCTCCCGCTCTTCTAGAACCTGCAACGCCTCCGCCATACCTTCTGTATGGCCCTCGCTCTTTGCTTCCGCACATGCAGCTCGGTGCACTGGCTCCAGTTGATTTTCGACTTCGATGGTTGCCAGGCTTCTCGCTTCAGCCCTAAGTGCAGGTATGATCTGCTCCTCTTTCGCCTGCAACCAGAGCTGTTGTACAACTTCAAGGTCGGTGCCTTCGAGATTCCTAGCACGTCCATCTCGCCATTGGCTTTGTTCAAGAGAGAAGGCTTGTCGATCATTCTCCAGGGACTCCTTTGCCATATTCAGTCTGGACTCTGTGTCTGTGACTACGCCTTCGCGTGCTTCAAGCATAGCTTCCTGCTCTTTGATCTCCTGGTTCTGTTTGTCTTGCTTACTCCTCAAGCGTTCGTCGAGCTGAACAAGCTTGATGTTCTGCAGACAGAATGTCTTCTCCCACCTCGAGAAGGCCTGCTCAGGACGACCCCTCCCTGCTACCAAGGTTCTCATCTCACGCATAGCTTTATCCGTTTTGTCGCCCAAAGCCCAAACAGCATCATAAAGATCTGCGTCTGGTCCTTCGCTATTCGGGATCCATCTAGGCCTTAATCCGCTGTCCTTAGCCTCTTCTTCTTGTCGTGCCAGTTTGGCTTCTATTTCAGACATTGCTTTGTCTCTGACCTGAAGCTGTATCGCATGCAGCTCTCGCGCTTCTCTAAGTTCTTCTCTTTTTTTGTCGATCTCCATAGTCCTATCTTCGAGCAGCTTTTCCGCGGCTATGCGCTTCTGGTTGGCATCTGTCGTGGCGCTCGAAAGCTCGCAGTTGCGGTTCTCGAGCCATTCGAGCCGAGTGACGTAGGGTAACAACCCGGGAATGAAGTCCAGGATGTCACGACTGGGTCTAGGCGGTTCGTTGCTCTCTTGACATGATGAGAAGTCTGAACCAGGTCAGTGAGGTGCTTTTGTAGCTCGTGAGTGCCAAATCTCGAGTGACGTGACTTACTAGAGCTTGTTGAGACCGCACCACTAACACCCGTAATTGGCCTCACAGGCTCATTTGCGTGTGGGAGGGCCATTTCGGATACGTCCGTGCAAGGCGCAGACATTGCTGCTCTCACACCCGGCCGCGTGACCGATATCGCGAAGAATGAAAAAGAGTGGCGAATACGCTCTCTTTGGCGTCCAGCTGCGTGACGAGATGACCTAAAGTGAGTGCCCAGGTACTGTAGGAGGTGAGGGGACGGACAAGTCAGAACTGGGACGCGAAAAAGTGGGACTCAGAGACGCAACAGAAGAGGAAGGACCAATGCTTGGCACGCAATAGAGCGTGCAAGATACGCGTCGAATGCGGACCAACAGGGCCGCGCAGGCTAGTAGAAGCTACGGTGGGTTTTCCAAAGAGCAGCACCCTTCGTTGTCTCTAGTCCTTGGAGACATCGTGCTTCGTAGGCACTCACCTTCAGTGTGCCCAGATGTGCCAATGTGCACGTGACTTGTTCAATTCATCGCGAGTACACCGGTACTGACGTGTGCAGATGGCCGCCCAATGGTGTACGCACCAAGCTCCTGGTGACTAGAAAGAATGACAGTACATTTGAGAAGATCCTGTCTGCCGATGACACATGCTAATGGAACTACATTAGGGAGAACTTTGACAAGAAAATGGTCACTACATTCGGAGAAAGAAGCGGACCACAACAAGAGACGTGACGAAAGACGAAAAGATGAGAATCTCAGAAACAGAAAACTCGAGGTTTATGCATTAGCTCACCCATCTCTCCAGTTCATTCAATCCATTAGACACTCAACCCCGATATTACTCCATCATGACGTACGGAGACTGCCTACCCTACCACCAAGTCCTCCTTCCATCATCCTTCAATCCAGCCCTATGCCAATGCCCGATAAACACCATGCTTGCTTGGAAGAGATTAAATCGCAAAACAAAAAAAGACAGTTCTACTAGTACAGGGAGCGGTCGTAGATGCAAGAATCAGCCATGGAGGGCCGGGGACGCTCGATTGAGATCTTGTAGAAGGGTATAAACGCAGGGGACCTGGTAAGTAATGCTCGCTGTAACATGTATGCCGAAACGATATATGCGTGTGCGGAATTCGAGGTGGTGTGAAGACGGTCTGCAACACCGCGGTTCGAAAACAGTATGGTTGCAAAGCTCAAGCGCCTTCAGGATATTTCCGACGACGAGGTTAGAGGGCGTGTGGTATCTATCCTTCTAATAGAGGCGTCCTCGGCTGGCCTGGCTTGCTCTGCTGGGCGACGTCCGGCTCCTCTCATCTTCCTCGGGAACGTCACTCAGTCTTGTTGGATGGTGATGTCTCATGCCTACCCACTCGTCGCCGTAGCCATCACCACTGTAGTCGGGTGCACCGCCAGCGGTAGGGTGACCCTGGCGTGACGATCCCGCGCTTGAACTCGTGGCGTAGGCACCTGAAGAGGTGGCAGTTGTGCCGTAGTGTTGCAGATGCTCAAGTTCGCGTCGACGTGCATCTTCTACATCGTACTCATCCGATACTGGAGACTGAAGTGATCGAAACGGGATGCGGCGACCCGAATCATCGCGAATGAAGTTGCCTCTCTCGTCCAGAGCGTACTCGATGTCGCCTTCAGACTCCTCCGCCTGAGACGTGACGTATGACTGCTCGTCCTCTGGCAGACCAGACTCAGACTCTTGATGTAAATATGAACCTGGCTGCTGGTAGAACGCCTCAGGCTGAGACATGGCCGGTTGTGCAGGAGCTTGCTGTGCCTGAGACGTGTAGTATGGATACTGTAATGGAGCAGGGGCTAGTGACTCGTCCGCGACTGAAGAACCACCAGGTCGAGAGGAGGCGGCGGATGCTGCACCTGATGGGACGTAGGTTCCTTGAGCCACGTGTGCGGGGGGTTCGGGCTCGCGGTGCGCATGGCGAGCGCCTTCCGTGAAGGGATCGGTGTCAGTTGGAGACTGACCTTCCTCATACGAGTAGTGCTGTTCTATACCCGAGCCACTGCTCTGAGCACCGGCGTATGTGTCGTCCCCATGTCCCCTCCCTTGATGCCCCATGTTCTGCGCCATTGGTACCACCTGCACTCCGCCGACCAACGTAGGCTGCCCTTCTCTGAGTGAGAACGTGCGATCACGTTCCTCTTGCTCCCGTCTTCCAAGCTCCTCCCATGCTCGGCGTGCTTCCTCTTTCGAGATTTGAAGCTCACGCTTCATCTCCGACACCGCTCGTTCGGCGTTCTTCTTCTCGGTGGCCATGCGTTCCATGTTTGCCTCAGCCTCAAGTCGAGCCTCCTGCTCCGTGTTGATTTGTTCCGTCAGTTGAGCCTCGCGCTCTTGAGCTCGTTCCTGATCCTGGCGATGCTCGTAGAACCATCTCTGGAACTTGCGCTCGGAAGATGCGCGTAGGCGCTGCAGCTCAACAACAGCATGGAAAAGGTTGGCTCCAGCTGCAGACAGGTCGGTGATCTGGCGCGACATTTGCTGAGCCAGCGGCTCCCTGCGAACTTCATCGGTATTCTGCTCAAGCCGCCGTATCCAGTAAGAGGTAAGACCTTCCCAATGCGAGGATAGTGTTTCCCAGCGCTCGAACGCATGTGGAAAGTTTGATGTGGTTGACTCGCGAACCTGTCCGGAGGACGAGCCCGGCGGAGGTGGAGGGCGTGCTGCAGCGGTGGAAGGGCCTGCTTGCGATGAAGCGGCCGTGGCACCAGACGGTCGCCTCGCATGCCCTGAGCCAGCTGGCCGTCTGCCTTGTTCCGCCGTTGTTGGTAGGCCTAGATTTGCCTGAGCGGGTCGAGACTGCTGCTGCTGTGCTTGCGAAGCTGCCCGGGGTCTGGATTGCGATGCGCCGGTAGTGGTCTCCTGCGCTTCGCTCATGGTGTTTTGTGATGGGATCGGCCTCTCTGGCTGACGAGGCACTCCACCCGATGATGTCGGGTATTGTACATACTGGTCGCCAGATCTCAGAGCTGCCGATTGGGGCTGCCTCTGGGTCCCGGGCTCCGTTATTGGTGCTCCAGCTACACCAGAAACAGCTTGAGCTCTTCTTTCTGCGCTAGCTCTCCTGCGCTCCTCTTCAGCGGCCTTCCTTTGTTCCTCCACTTCAGCCCGTTGCCGTCTGGCGTTCATGATCTGCGTTGGCGTACGTATGTTGGACCTGTCAACCGGCACAGGACCGCCTGTTGTGCGCGCGCCGCCATTGGCAGCGCGGCCACTTGTTAGATCGGACATGAGGGCGTTCTCTTCGACCAAATCCGGGGTGAAGGGATGCGGAAGTCGGAGTCCCTCTTCGAGCACAAAACGTATTGCCGAGGCAGTACGTTGACTGATGCGAAGGGCAGGGTGAGGCTCGGCGTAGGAGGTCGAGCGAGGGCGAGGTGTCTCGAAGCGAACGCGCTGCTGCTGTTGGCTCGGATCGACAGATCTCGCGCGCTCGAAGTTGGGCGTGCGGCGAAGACTGTTCGCGACGCTGCCGGTCGAGCTCGATGCTCTCGAGCGATTGTGCTGCGTGCGATAGAAGGCGTCGGCTTGCTCCTGGCGTAGCTGGAGGGAGGTTCGGTATTCGAACAGTGGCGCTGGGCCGTGGCGGTCGTGGTCTCGTGAAGATGGTTGTTGGAAGGGTAATATGTTGGCGAGCTCAGATGGGTCGCTGGACGTCACCGCGAAGTCAGGGACTCTCACTCAGGCCCGATTGCCCTTGCGCCGTCGAGGGGCACCCGCCGGGTTGGAGAAGATACCCAGCGGCTGGTTCTCTTGGGATTGGGTAAGCAACGCGCGACGGCTTGCTTATATCGAGAGGCACGAAAGCTGGCTGGAGAGGGTAATGTTAGAGACAGAGACTGCGGGAGGGCTAGCAGAGGAGCCATTGCTGCGGTGCGCCCTAGCAATTCCGCGCGCGAGGTAGGGTGGTTGGGAGGAGGTGAAGGGCTGGGAGGTGGCTGGGACGCTTCGTGAAATCAACTTACACCTCTCACCGACAGTCCATGAAACAGCCAATGTACGTGTCTGGATGCGCGATTGGTGACTATGTATGCGCTGCGCTGCGCTGCGCTGTGCTGTCGTCGTGGTGCTGGTGGTTGTCCAATGCCTCGAGTTCTGCTGGCAATGCCGAAGCAGACGTCACCGGACGAAAAGCTGGCCCTCAGCCCCAGCGCTCGGAAGCGCGGCGCCTGCTGCAACGCGCGGGTGGGTAGAAAAGAGTGACGGAAGAGACAGAGGGTCTCGTCTGGATATGCATTGAAGTCGCGCGGCTGAGCAATCGCGGACCTGTGGTAGCGCTTTGAGCGCGAGCGGAGCTTCACCCGGGAAGCAAATACGCCAAACGCTGATATTTGCTGATGTGGAGTCGCACTGACCGACGTGCAGCGAGATGCATGCAAGCGACTGCACTGGGACGAGGATAGCGGACGTCGAGTTGGTGACGGCTACGATCGATTGCCAGCGTGCCAGCTCATCGTGCTTGTTCTGCTAAACCTGGCATGGGGCCAAGGTACAGCGCGAGCCGGAAAGCCCATCGCCGTCATGACCGGCCGAACGAAGCAAGGCATTAGAAGCCAGCAGTCCAAGATTACAAAGAAGTCATGTAGTTGATAGCTGGAGATTCATTTGGCTCACGGCCTCTCTCATGCTCGTGGTCGCGGTTACCTCATCGCACCTGCCCACCCGCATGCGCCTGCCAATCAGCCGAGTTGTGAGGAAGGAGCGGCCCGTCTCCAGCGGGTCAAATCGTCACAGCATCTGACCACGAGCGTCGTGCCTCTTCAACCTGACAACAAGCCGCCTTCTCCAAAGGCCCGCGTCGCAACGACCAGCTGATGATGAAGTCGTTCGGTGTCTTGCACAGCCAACAAACATTCCATTATGTCCACCCCTGGAACCCGCATACACGACATGCAACTCCCAGCCTCGCCTATGCGTTAGACCCATGATCCTGCAGCAACGGAAGAACAAGGAAACATACTGCAGACGTAACGTTCACTAGACCCACAGAACAGCTGTCATCGTCAGACGTCGCCCGTCCCATTTGCGATGAAAAGAGGACGGCACACTTTGCGCACACCGCCTCACAAC